TTAAATGAAGAAGACCTAAAAATTCTGAATAACCCAACTTCAATCAAAAACAAAAAAAAAAAAAAAAAAAGAAAAGAAAAAGCTCAAATCCATGCAAGTAGGAGTGAAAAGGGTGAGTTTACAACAGATCCAGCAGAAATCCAGAGATCATCAACACCTACTTTGAGAGCCTGTACTCCAATAAGATGGGAAACACAGAAGAAATGGACTTATTCCTCGATACATATGAATTACCAAAGTTGAACCAAGAAGTTATAAAATTTCTAAACACCCAGCATGATTAAAAACTTACCAACAAAGTTTTTCTTTTATATGAAGAATTACAAATGAGGGCTGGAGCAAGAATGAAATCAGGGCAAGAAGCCAGAAAGCTGTTGAGGATACACAAGCACTGCTGACAGTCTGAATTGGGTCTGAGAGAGAGCTGAATAATTGACATTGACAATGACCTAGTATTTCCACGCCTGCTTTTGTTTTTTAGGTTGTTGCTCTAGTTTTAGTTGATTTCCTCTGGTAAATATATTTTGTATCTTTTTGTTAACTTTAATCTTATCTCTGACATACATTTAAGATTTTTTTCTTTTCATTGTCTTTTTTTAAAAACACTATAGAATAATCTTTCAATGAACTTGTACTGTGACTCTTATAAGAAACTTACTTATTCATGTAATTCCTACCATGATTCTTCTCCTTTTCATTCCTGAGAGAGAAGCATAATATGCAGGTGGGTAGGGAGGAATGTCAGACACAATTTGGGATTTGCAATAATTTCCAAATATTCAGTTTAAATTAGCCCTAAGCCAGAACATACATACTCACCTATGGGTGGAATATGTATCCTTCCTGTATTCTGGAAGCTGTAATAGTAGCCATGGCCCCTCTGTGTGGATCCATAATGAATGGAGCACGTATTTTAGATGGATAATCAATTCTGAAATCCCTTGTAGTAAGCAGTTAAAAGAGAAATGTTAACTTCCTGAGTTTAAAGAGTAGCTTCAGTGATGATGGCTTAGTGACAGAGATGCGAAGAAAGGTGGGGGGGGCAGCGAGAAAGAAGAGAATGAGTTTTTAATGAATATCCACTTGCTGACTTGAATGTAACCAGGAACATTCTCCTTCCTGGAAAATGTGTTGCAGCTGTGCATCCTATTATTGTTCCCACAGCCTATGGTAACATGGAGACTGAGGCAGAGCAGATTTCTAAGAAAGCTCTCCTTCACAACATAATGAGATCCAGGAGGCTAATTTGCAGAGATTGCTGGAGCAGTGGTCAAATTTGCAAACAGACAAATAAAAACCCTAGCAGAATGAAAAGACTACATTAAACAGGAAATGCTTTATAATGAGCCCAGAAACCACATGTCAGACAGCCTACTGACTGGTATCTATCTGTTCATATCCTTGCCTTCTCAAGCAAGCCACTAAACATGTTCATCTACCCTATTTTTCATGGCTACCTACTGTATTCAAAATATGAATAATTTGGCAACTCTACCTCATGAAGAAATAAGAGTGAGGCCCATTTCAATAAGCAGTATAATTGTTTGCATAAACATGAGAATATGGTATGTAATGATTTGTTTCTTTTTTATTTGAGACGAGGTTATTGCTAAGCTGTTAATTTTCCCAAACTCGTGATCCTCCTGAATCAGCCTCTCAGATTGCTGAGATTAAGGAGGTGTGTGCCACCATGCCTGGTCTGCTTCTTGCTTTAAAACAAAAATTTCCTCTTTATTTTTCAAGTTGCAGTTTGACTCAGACTTTTACAGAATAAGGATTCTGTAGTTAGTTTTGCTAAATAGAACTGAGTTTGCCTGAGGTCACTAGGTAAGAAAAATGGAAGTCCTCTCTTGTTAGAAATGGACTGGAGGAATACAACAAGTTAAAGTGCATTTGATTACTAAAGAATGATTTTGTAAAATTGATAGGGCACCATCTTTCAGCTTTTCTAGGCTTTACCTCTTGGTATGTTTCTTCTCCTGTAATAGGAAAAAGCTATACCAATCCCTAAATAGATGTCTGTAATGAATAGCAACACAATTAAAAGTATAAAAAATGTTTGTAAACATTTATGTAGAAAGTGTATGTGAAACATTTTTGTAGCATACTCTGTTGTTACTTGTGGTTTGGAGGTGCTTATATAATTCCTGAGTTGGAAAGTTGTCACTTTCAGATATTTATAGCTGAATATTTAGACAGAGCCTTAGTTTGGGCCTCATGACCAAGACTCATTTTCTGGATCTTGTGGGTAGCAAGGCCTCCAGACAAACATGCTGATTATGTTGTTCAGTCAAACCTTGGCTTATCTCTGTTGCTGGTAACTTATATTATCTATACATTGGTGGTGAGGATCCTATGGGTGACCAAAGGCAGTGTCCCTCTGAATATATGGCTTTAGTCAGAATCTTGGGGTTGGAGGACTGGGCAAAGAGAAGTCTATTTACTTCATAGATGTTAGTTCCTTTTAAATTGTTCAGTTAGTATTGAGGAAAGCTGGCAGGTAGCCCAAAAAATGTGAAGAATAAGAAGAGATGAAACCTCATTGCTATGGACATTTGGCTAAGTTGGTTAGAAGAAAGTTCTTCTGTAAAGTTTTCTGCCAGGTGTGGAATTCACAACTTAATGGCACAAATCTCCCCCACTCTTTTTGTTTTGTTTTAAATGGTGAGTACAGTAGGTGGGCAGATAGAAACAGCTCCTTGTTCTAAGATTCTGCAGACCTTCTAACAAATGCTGAAATAAATTCCAGTGGATCCTTAATATATGCAAGGATCTAAAGTCTGTTGCTTCATGTGTCTGCCAGTGTTTATGTGTGCCCATGTGTGTGTGGGAGGAGGGTTATAAGACAGGGTGCTTAAATGCTTTGTTGCATTATGTTAATTCCTCAGCAGTGCAATCAAATTCATGTCGTAATTAAAGCTGTCAGTTGGAAGGCAAGCCAATCGCCACAAAAGCACAGCATAACAAATGAAGTGAAATGATTCTGCGTGTAGCTATACAATGCTTCGCCAGGCATGAAATTAAATAAGTAATTTGATGTTGACATCAGAAATTGAAATGATACCCACTGTTCTCTCATTCAGTCAGACCTGCATAAACAATAGCCAGAACAAATATGCACAACAAAGCCTTCTTCTCCACCCAGCTCCCTGAGTAATGTATAATATATATGCAAAATGAGCATAACAGAGCTTTTCTAGACCTGAAGTATGTCATTTTCCTTGGTATACAATAAAACAATGTGTATTGGGGGTGGGGAGGTAGGTTTGGTGGGGTACTTTTCCTTCTGAGATAAAATGTATTTGCAGGAATTAGGGTGAATAGAATAAACATCCTGTGGTCTCTAAGCAATTCATCCTACAGTGGATTTCCTTCTCAGGAATATGACTAGGTAGAGACCTAGTGTCTTTAGCCTTCACCTCCTCAAAGGACTTAGGATGCTGAAAATAGGTGATTTGGTCACATGGTTAATTGCTGGTCTGAGAACCCATCTCTGTGACTACTGCAGATCTCTCTCCATGCAGCTGATGGGATTAAGAATGAAGCAAGATTTTAAAAGCAAAGCGTAGTGTGCCAGATCACCCATCTCTGGTGCTGTACTCCTCCGAGTTTGTCTGAAGCACAGAGGCGAAGGTAGTTTTGCTTTCGGACCTGTGTGTAGGAATGCTCTGAAGCATGTTGTACTTGATTGATGTGGACTTTGTTATAGCTTTATATTTCATTCTGAGATAGTTTTGGATCAAAAAGACTCACATCTGTGATATTTATAGAGATGTCACATTCCCCTAAGCCTTCTTTCCCTGTATAGTCCATTCATTCCTTTGTTTATAGGTTAATTCAACAAATTCTTATTAAATGCATCTTGCATGTAAGGCGTTTTGCTGAAATCTGGAAGCAATGATGAATATACCCAATAGTTCTTTCTACTTTTGGTTTATAGAGTAGGAGTCAAGAGGTGGAGGTGAAAGAGCTAAAAGTGAACCTAATAATTGTACCAAGGAGAAGGGCAGGCCACGCTGGAGAAGGTGTGATACCAAACCTGTGTTCATTGGGTAAAAGGGCCTCCTGGTACAAGCATACTTAAGTAAGATCTGAAAATTAACTCACTATTGGGTTTATTCTCATTTCAAATTTATCTGGGGCCTCTCTTAATCACAGAGAGGATGCTGAAAGTTAAATAATTTCTAAGGAGAAGTTTGTGGGGAGAGCATACAAACAAAGAACCTTAGAGGAGTGTGAAACCTAAGCTGTGCTCTATTTTTGGTTCCTTTTCTCCAAATAACTGATACCCTGCATTCATTTCAGAATTACTGGTTTTTTTGGTTCCCTGTATATCAGAATTATGGCTGCCTAAATTGATATTTCTTGTAACTAAAACCTTCAGAAAATGGTGCTTTTCAGCTTCTCTTTGCCCACACATTCTTTGCATTTCAATATACTAATTATGTTTACAAAATGTCTCAGTTTTGAAAAGTACTGTGTGTGTACTAACTGGTTCCTTTAGGGAATAAACTGGCAAGTAGGTCATACACTGGAAAAGTCATCCAAACCCATTGGGCTTTTTATTTTCAAGTCAGTCTGGGCTTTTTCCCTTGCCTGCCCCTTTGTGGCCACAAAACTGAGTAGCTTGAGACCAGGGCATTGAATGTCAGCAAGTCAGGGAGGCAGGCTGATACATGTCTGTTTTGTCTCAGTACAGGGCGAAATGCCATCATTAATTCATTACCCAGCTGCCTGTCAAATAAATTGGCAATTACATCCACCGCAGAAGCTTGGAATTCAGTAAATAGCACGTTAGCATCTCTGAGTTGTTGAGAGATGTAAAGGGGAAAATTAAGCAACACAGTGTTTGTATCAGTAGCAGATGACAAGGGGCAGCACACGCTGGTGATGTGATGTAGTGATGAAAAGCCTGCAAAGGGCTGGTAATGAGCTGTGTGGATTGGAACGTGTTAAAAACCATTGCTGATTTTCCACTTTGTCTTTATGCTTTATTGCAGAGTTCAGCTCCTTCCAGCTTGGGAACAGGCTACTTCGTAAGTCTATCTCAGCTTCACATATGTGCTTTGTTTTGGCATTGATTCACTTCTATAATGAATGCTCATTAGGATGTAAAAAAAATCTTAAGGAATCCCCTCTGAGTCTTAAAGAGGAGTCTGATTTCTGACTTCCATCCTGTTATTAAGAACTGATTTATTTTTAAAGGACATAACCTGATGGGCCCTAGGGATCATCAGTCTTGAAATGAGTACCTGGTTTCTAGCAGCTAGAACATTTGCCCTGTACCTAGCAGTGTGGGGGACACAGGAAAAGTGGATCGCTCATACTGTCTTAGCTCCAAAAGTGTTCATTTAGTGAGAAGTATGCATCATGGAGAAGATGGAATTCAGATTATGCACAGAGGTATTAACTCACTTTCAAGATTTCTTTAAAAACATACATATATTCAATAAACTGCTTTTTTTATGAGGTGGTATTTCAATGAATGTTTTCCATCCCAATCTAAGTAGATATCCTGTTTTCTTTGTAGCAGTCATTTAACTCATTTTAGCAAAAAATAGGTATAATTTTTTAAACTCATTCTCTGTCCTTTGAAGGAGGGCTGGAGGATATGACATATTTCAAGATTTATCAAAATATTTTTCAGTCAGAGAAATTGTTCCTTTTATTTACTTTTAGCAAATTATACTCTTTACATTTAACAATCCTTTTCAAGATATAAATGGGAAAGATTTACAAATACACTTTCTTTACACATCAGGATAATTTCTGAGTGTAGAAGTTTATGGTAGGATTTAGGGAAACCTAATTAGTGTTCTATAAGTAAGGAACACTAGTACTGTAATGACTTTAATGCCTGTTTAGTATTTTCTAAGAAAAAAATGAAAACATGAAAATAAAGTGGAAAGTAAGTAGTGTTTCTGTGTAAGTTTTTTTAACTTTTTTTCCCTATAACATGTTCATCGCTGTCATTTTCTTCTGCTCACATATTTCTCACAGTACATTTACATTAAATGTATGAAAACTAAAACATTTCATAGAATAAATAAATCTTTCCCAAACTTGGCAGAAAGTACATTTTCTGCAACTTGATTTTTTTGGAGGGTCTTAATCTATAGTATGAGAGAGAAAAGGATAAAGAATATCTGGGACCTGCTTAATACAGTTAACACACTTAGAGCTGCTCCCGCTTATTGTGGCTGAATATTCATGCTTACAGAAGCACACAAGATACATTCAGCATCTCGCTTCAGCAGTTGAAAGAACAGACTTAGTTCCATCTGTCATCTCTTCACACCAGCCTGGATGTGGGTTGAGATGTTTGTAGGAAAAATCTGGAGGCTGCCTGTCTAATCTGCATCCAAAAGCTAAATTCTTCCTCTTTGCTTTCTTCAGCAGAAGCAAGGCAAAAGCCACCACCTTAGCCTTGAACATTTTAATGTTTTTTTATTGTCCATATGATTATTCTAAAAGAAAAAATCATTTCTAGTAACGATGTGATTTTTATTCCGTTTTTTGTCACTTACATTGCTTTCTGGTAATGTTTATTCTGTGGTAGTTAAAGCATTCTATGGGTGAAGTATCTTTAGGAATCCAAAATATTTAACAGAGAGCACTGACTAAACATAAAAGTTTGTCCTTTTTTAGGTAAAATGGCTCGTAGGGTTGTTTTCCTTATATCAAAATCTATCATGCTATTAGCTTATGTGGAGCAGATATATACTAGATGTATGTTCAACTCTCAAATATGAAAAAAATAACCCTTTATGATGTGTTTCCAATGTGATTGTTATGTTATCAAAATTCAAAATGTATTCAACAAAAGTAGTCTCTTATTCCAACAGCATTGCATGTAACCCTTAATTTCAAGTACTAAATGTAATATTGGAGCACTTCACTCATTTATGTAGAAATGATATATTCACGGCTATTAGTTGAGTTTTTTTTTTTTTTGCCAGTATACTACTCATTGCACTGTTTTGTGATCTGTGATATCATAGTAGCTGTTTAGTTATGTTTGTAAAGAAGACTCAGCATCAGGTAAGTGGGATAGTAATATTTTGAGTCTATCCTTAATCGTTCTCAGCATTTCTTAGAAATGTACGTGGAGGGAAATCACCTACAGAGTGAATAAGCTATTAATGCAATTGAATTGTATAGTGAATCCTGATATAAAAAAATTGAAGGCACTCTCATATTGGGCCTAACAACCTGGAACTGTTTCCTTCAACACACTCCCATGCCCCAGCCTCACTCTTAATTTCAGAGTCCTCTGTTGTTCAGATGTTGTGCTTCTAGGGAGCTTTTTCAAATGCTGCTTGTGTGTTAGAAGACACCCATCAGAGTGTATGTGCTGGCGAGTTTGTGTGTGTCTCTGTGTGAGATACACATATACACACACCTATGTTCATCCACCCTGGGCCAGAGTCGGTATATTTTACTTTCTTTTATGGCTTTTAATGTATCAGTAGTGATACATTAAAAGGGCTTTAATAAACCTTTGGGTTTTTAAAAAATCTAGTTGTATTTGTTTATGTCTCCTTGGTTTTGTGTTCCAAAAATGTCTGCTTAGGTCTGTCACTTTTCCAATCCATTTAAAGCAGATTTGAGAAACGAGAACAGCAGCTAAATCAGTATTTACATAAGCATATTGCAAAGAATTCTTAAAGTAGACAAAATAGAGAAGGATTGGAAAAAACTCTCCACATTTTTGGGAGCTTTGAATAATGTGGGTGTTATACACACAGACACACACACACACACACACACACACACACAGTCATTACATACTCATGCCCAGCTCTGTTCATATTCTAAATATAAATGAAATTATGGAGTAGTTGGAATCAGTTTGCTTTTATTTTATTTTTTTTCTCTTTTGGCAAGCACACTAAAACTTGTTGGAATGTGTATAGGATTTTCTTTTTTTAAAGCATAAGTGTAGGAACTCTTTTTTCAATTTAAATATTTTAGGCTATATTCTTTTCTTAAAATGTATTTGAACTTTCATTATGGGTAATTTATAATAAAGAAGTTAGAGGCAGAATGGTATTTAAAACTTGTTTGTGACCTTCCACAGATTATTTTATTTATTTATTTCTCAGCAGCTAGAGTACAGTTTTCTTTTTAGTAGTACATGTTTGTAGTACACGATGATTACATTCATCATGGGGGAGCTGTACATGTGTGTAACACATCTTAATTCTTTTTTTGTCCCCCCTCTCACCTCCAACCTTCTGTTCTTCTTTTATAAAAGCTATATTTTCAGCCGGGTGTGGTGGTGCATGCCTGTAATCCCAGCACTTGGGAGACTGAGGCAGGAGGATGGCTGTGAGTTCGAGACCAGCCCGGACTACATAGTGAGTTCCAGGTCAGTCTCAACTACATAGTGAGACCCTGTCTCCAAAAAAAAAAAAAAAAAAAAGCTGTATTTTTCATTTCTCTCTATTCTTTTTTCTGTTAAATCCCTTTCTCTTACGTCCCTTTCCTCTCTTCCCATTTCAACAGTTTCTTCCAACATCCCAGTATCTATCCTCCATTTTGAATCAATGGGTTTTCTGAGATCTTGGAGTCTGTTTCTCTATTAGTGCCTGCTTTATAGAGTTGTGAATATTGATCAAGGGAAGACATTTAATGTGTATATGGCAGCACTGGGCAATGACAAACAATACATTTTGCCTTCTGTTTTTCATACTTTAGTGTGTAGTGTGATGAACTTGGTTTTATTAGCTAGCTGTGCAGTGTTACAGTGACGGTATTACCAGAAATCATCAATACAAAAGTTGATTATAGGAAAAGAACATTTCATTTTCATTATACTCCTCTTGTAACTTTCACAGGATCCTAGAGACTTTTGTTTGCTGTCTTAATTACTTTTCTCTCATTGTTGAGACAAAATACCTGACTCCCAAAGTTAAAGGGGAAAGCTTTATTTAGCTCACAGTTTGTAGAGATTTTAGTCCATAATCAGCTGGCTCTGAGGCTGGATGGCAGAGGGGCACCAGTTCATGGGGGCAGGAGGACAGAAAAAGCAAACAAGCAAGTGTCTTTCTGCTCCTTTTATGTTTTCTAAACTATGCCAAACTAATCACTGTACTGGTTTGGTAATCATAAACTCTTAATCCCAGCATCACACTCTAGTTCAGCCATCTCTGACCACATGAGTCTTTGAGGGGACATCTAGTCCCAAACCATAACAATAATCTATATATCCAGTCACTCTGTATATGAACATAAATATGATGTACATCCTTCATAATCCTCTATTGCGATGATGTAGGAATGACCTCTTCTACAGACTGTCCACACATTATACTTCCCCTTAATTGACTTACCAAAGTTATTTGTCTGTTTTCTCCCTCAGGGCATTTAAAGCATATGAGCCTCTTAACAACTGCTTAGCACCTTTTAGGATTCAGCTTGGAGGTTAAGAATATTTTATTCAATATATTTAAGTTTTATGATGTTGCAGCACATTTTTTCTGCTCTCCGAGACTGAAAAGAAAAGTAGGTGCTTTAGCTTACCTGACAGAAGTAACTGAAGGCACTAGCATGGAAGGACCTGGGGGTAGCACTGTATTAGTGCATAGTGATGAAGTGTCTCATCACAGGAAATACTTGAACTCTTTCTTTACATGAATTTGACTCCATATACAAGGAGTTGGAGCTACTTTTGGGGTGACTTATTTGGCAGGCTGGACTTGAACTCTAGCATGAAGGAAGTTAAGGCCTGACTTGAAACATGCAAGTGTTCTGTCTGCTTCTTTGGCTAATTGTTAGCCTTCTTCTGGGTTTGGATAGAAATGGATCCCACTTTCTTTAACTCTGTGAGTTTCCTTTAGAGTTCTCCACATATAATTTTTCATCATTCTTACTTGGATCACATGTAGTAATTACATAGTAGTTATCAATGGAACTAACTCACTGCTATTTGATAATAGATAAGTTACCATATTATATAATACAGTAGAATCTTATAGTGATAGATATCTTATGGTGGGATTTGTTTAATCACTGTTTTTCTGTTAATTTGTGT